TGGTTATTGGTCTATTCAGGTTATCCATTTCTTCCTTGGTAGTTTCCAGTTTTCCAGGAATGCATCCATTTCTTCCAGGTTGCTTAATTTATTTGAATATAGTTGTTGATAATAATTTCTGATAGTTGTTTCTATTTCCTTGGTGTTAGACATGACTGTCCCCTTTCATTCATAATTTTATTAATTTGGATCCTTTCTCTTTTTTTGGATAAGTCTGGCAAGTGGTTTATCGATCTTATTAATTCTTTCAAAGAAACTGCTTCCAGGTTCGTTGATGTGTTCTACTGTATTTCTGGTTTCTAATTCATTGATCTCTGCTCTAATCTTATTTCCCTTCTAGTGCATGCATTGGGCTTAATTTGTTGTTGATTCTCCAGTTCAAGGTGTAAACATAGTTTGTGTATTCTGGCTTTTTCTATTTTCTTGAGTGAGGCTTGAATGGTATGTATTTCCCACTGAGGACCACCTTTGCTGTACCCCATTGGTTTTGGACTGATATGTTTTTGTTCTCATTGGTTTCCATGAATTGTTTAAGTTCTTCTTTGATTTCCTGGTTGACCCAAACATTCTTTTTTTTTTTCTTTTTAAGATTTTATTTATTTGACAGAGAGAGAGTGAGATCACAAGTAGGCAGAGAAATAGGCAGAGAAAGGAGGAAGTAGGCTCCCTGCTGAGCAGAGAGCCCGAGGTGGGGCTCGATCCAGGACCCTGAGATCATGACCTGAGAGAAGACAGAGGCTTAACCCACTGAGCCACCTAGGTGCCCCCACCCAAACATTCTTTTTTTTTTTTTTTTTCCCACCCAAACATTCTTGAGCAGGATAGTCTTTTGCTTCCAAGTGCTTGTATTTCTTCCAAACTTTTCCTTCTGATTGAGTTTCAGTTTCAAAGCATTGTGGTATGAGACTATACATGGAATAATCTCAATCTTTGGTATTGGTTGAACCTGATTTGTGACCCATTATGTGGTCTATTCTGGAGAAAGCTCCATGTGTGCTAAAGAATGAGCATTCTGTTGCTTTAGTGTGGAATGTTCTGTATTTATCTATGATGTCCATCTGGTCCAGTGAGTCATTCAAAGCTCTTGTTTCTTCGCTGATTTTCTGCTAAGATGTGGAGTGTTGAGTCTCCTACTAGTAATTGTGTGGAGTGTTGAGACTCCTACTAGTGATGTATTATTATCAATATGTCTTTCTCTCTCTTTTTTTTTTTTTCAGTATGTCTCTTTATTTTGGTTAACAGTTGGCTTATGTAGTTGGCTGGTCCCATGCTGGGGGCATAGATATTTAAAATTGTTAGATCTTCTTGTTGGATAGATCTTTTAAGAATGATATAGTGTCCTTCTGTATCGCTAACTATAGTCTTTAGCTTACTTTGTCTGATATGAGAATTGCTACCCCAGCTTTCTTTTGAGGTCCGTTGGCATGAAAGATGGTTCTCCATCCCTTCACTTTCAGTCTGAATGTATCTTTAGGTTCAAATGAGTCCCTTATAGACAGCACATGGATGGGTCCTGTCTTTTTATCCAACCTGTAACCCTATGCAATTTTATGGGAGCATTTAGGCTGTTTGTGTTGAGAGTGATTATTGAAAGATATGATTTTGTCATCATCATGTTGCCTGTGAGGTCCTTGTTTCTATAGATTGTCTGTGTAAATTTCTGTTCTATATCACTCTTGGGGTCTTTCTTTTATAGAACACCCCTTAATATTTCTTGCAGAGCCAGCTCAGTGGTCACATATTCTTCCAGTTTCTGCCCATCCTGGAAGCTCTTTATCTCTCCATCTATTCTCAATGACAGCCTTGTTGGAGAAGGTATTCTTGGTTGCATGTTCTTCTTATTTAGTACCCTGAATATGTCTTGCCAGCCCTTTCTGGCTTGCCAGGTCTGATGTTACTATGATGTTCTTCCCTCTGTATGTAAGGAATCTCTTCTCCCAACTGCCCTTAAGATGGCTTCCTTGGTTCTAAGACTTGCTTGTTTTATTATTACATGCCAGGGTGCTGGTCTGTTCTCCTGGACTTTGGGAGGGGTCCTCTCTGCCTATAGGACAAAAATGTTGTTTCATTTCCCAGATTAGGGAAGTTCTCAGCTACGATTTGCTCAAATATATCTTCTAGTCTTCTCTCTCTCTCCACCCCTCCCCTCAGGGATCCCCAAAATTCTGACATTGGAACATTTCTGGCATCACTTATTTCTCTTTTCATGGATTTTAAGCCATTTGTTCCAGGTCTCCTCCTGTTCTATCTTTTCTATCCATTTGTGTTCTAGATCACTAATTTGTTTTTCCGCCTCATTTATCCTAGCTGTTAGTATCTAGATTAGGGGCGCCTGGTTGGCTCAGTGGGTTAAGCCTCTGCCTTCAGCTCAGGTCGTGGTCTCAGGATCCTGGGATCGAGCCCCACATCAGGCTCTCTGCTCAGCAGGAGCCTGCTTCCCCCTCTCTCTCTGCCCGTCTCTCTGCCTCCTTGTGATCTCTCTGTCAAATAATCTTTAAAAAAAAAAAAAAAAAAAAAGGTAAAATCTTAAAAAAAAAAAAGAGTATCTAGATTAGGGGCACATGGGTGGCTCAGTAGGTTAAGCCTCTGCCTTCAGCTCAGGTCATGATCTCAGGGTCCTGGGATAGAGCCCTGCATTGGGCTCTCTGCTCAGCAGGGAGCCTGTTTCCCCCTCTTTCTCTGCCTGCCTTTCTGCCTACTTGTGATTTCTTTCTCTGTCAAATAAATAAATAAAATCTTAAAAAAAAAAAAAGTATCTAGTTTAGACTGGATCTCATTGATAGCATTTTTAAGTTCTGCCAGATCAGCTCTCATTTTTGCCCTTAGAGGATATATGTTGCCATTAATGGTTTTCTCCATCCTAGCTACTGTCTGCATAAATGTTACCTTGAAGTCTATTTCTGACATCTTTTTTTATATCCATATCCATTAGTTCTGTAGCAGAGGTCACAGTCTCTGAATCTTTCTGGTGCTGGGGTTCCTCCCTTAGTCATTCTGTTGAGGAATGGTTGAGGGAATGCACAGAGTCCGAATTATTGATCACAACTCAAGCAAGATGCCCCTATTTTATAGAGACCTTAGGGTTGTCAGCCTCTTGTTCTCCCATCCTGTCTTCTGGGGAGGGACCTGCCTTGCTGTTACTCAATCTTTTTTGGGCAGAGTTGCCCTGCCCCTTGTTGGTGGGGGATAGACTGAGTGAAAACTGGTTTTTTGAGGCTTTTGTTCTCTGGTAGCTTTCCCTGGCATCTTTCTGCATTTCTTCCAACAGAGCAGAAGTGATCATATCTAAACCTCTGTCTCAGAACAGAGATAGCGCAGTCTGTTCTTCAGTGAGCTTTCCAAGCTACACTATCTCTATTTTTGTCTGTGCTGCTAAAACCACAGCATCCTGAATTGTGTGCACCCCACAGAAGCACTCTTAGTCCTCACTTCCAGGTCCAGCCATGTTTCTGCCCTTTGTCTTTCTAAAACTGTCAGCAACCCCCAGTTCGCATGTGCGCCCCTGCAGCTTCAGGTTTCAGCTTGGGGGGCTGCCCTAAAGTCCTTCCTCCACCTCTATGGTATTTGACTCTGTTCAGTCCCCAGCGCGAGAGCCTTTTGCGCTCCAGTGGTATAGGATCCCAGAGGCTCCCTCCCACTTCCGTTTATCTTCCAATATCTGCCCATAGAATCATGGCTCCCTGCTTCATACCTCGAAACTAAACACTGAAGATATCTGTTCGTAGAGATCCAGATATATCCTCCTATGTCTCAGGCAGATTTTGTAGGTATTCAGAGTGGTGTGGTAGATATCCAGCTTACTTCAGGGGACTGGCTAAAATAGGGTCCCCTATCCTCCACCATCTTTGCAACCTCCCAAAACACCTTATTTTTGACTGAATTTTATAAACCCTTCGACGTTTGTTAATCCAACACTGTGAGGGGTCTTGCATTCTCACCTTATAAAAGATTCACTACAGAACAGAATTAGGATTTTTTTAAAAACAGCTTTTTGATATGAAAAACTGAGTTTGTGATCCCATAATCTGAATTTTTAATTAGTAGATAAATGGATCTCCAGATAATTCCAAAATAAGTAGTCTAAACCAGTACTAGATAATAAACCGGGAAAGGTGAGAATAAACTCTGTGGTGTTAGGCTAAAACAGAATGCATTGTTGTGAACTCATGGTTTACACACCCACATATACACACACACATGCACACACACTTTCTAGCTTTGTTCCACTGAAACGGCCTAGACACAATGATACTCCAGTAGCAAGGACCATATCTAGTGTCCTGATCCTAAATTCTTTTTTTTTTTAGGCTATATGCCCAATATGCAGATTGAACTCACAACCCCTAGATCAAGAGTCACATGCTCTATCAACAGAGCAAGTGAGGCACCCCCAGATCCTAAATCCTAAATACCATTTCCACTATAAGGAACCAGGGCTCCTGAAATTCCTAATTCCAGGACTAGGGCAGGGAAGTATAAAATGATCCTGGATTTTTTATATTTATAAAAGGGACATCAGAGAGGGCTTTCTCTTTGCTCTGCTTTCTGCCATGTGAGAATATAATATGGCAGCCATCTACAAGGTAGGAACAAGGTCTTCACCAGACACTGGATCTGCCTGTATCTTGATTTTGGACTTCCCAACCTCTGGAGCTGATTTAGTACTTATTTATAAAATATGGAGTGCTATCCATGATAAGTGTCATATGCCAATTAAGCATATGCCTAATGTTTGTATATGCACAGAATAAAGTCTACAAGAATTTCAGTCTTTGAAAAGCAATTACCTGTGGTTATAGGAGACTTTTAGCTTTTACTTTATATATACATCTGTATTGCTTTCTTCCTTTTAAAGTAAAAAATACGTATTAATTCTGGATCAAAAAATAAAGGGAAAAAAAAAACTTAGCCCACTAGAATATAGCAATGAGTTGACCTACAGAAAGTTATGAAGTTGTAAAATACTAATTCTTGGGATAAATAAAAACCCATGTTATTACCTGGATTTCTCATTGGAATGGTTAGCAAGGCAAGGTATGGCAACAGCTGAGTTTGGAGGCATAAAGCTGGTAAGCAGAAGTCAGAAAAAAGTGCTTTTGCTGTCAAGCAATTTTCCCGATACTGTATAGAAAAAAAAAGATGAAATGAAAAGTAAAAAAATATGGAGATGTATTCCCTAGACAAACTAAGTTTACTGTATCCCAAATTGTGTTTATATACCACATACTTTTAAGAGTTTATGTAATTAGTTTTTATAACTGTCCTAACCTTACCTAATAAAGCATTTTACCTATAAAACTATTTCCTATTTGACATAACAGCAATAAGACTTTTTTTTAAGAGACTTAAAGGTAGAAAGAAAAAAAATCTTAAAAACGAAAGGAATTTTGCTATGAGCATACCTCACAAATTATGTGAGGGTTTGTTTCTCAGTTAAAAAAAATTACTTTCTTTAGGTAACATGGGTAGATTGCTAGGCTGAGGAGGAGAGAAGCACAATCTGCTTTCAAGGACCTTACAGTTTTACAGAGACAATCTGTATGGAACTATAACGAAAATTAATATTTGTGTTATAAAGAGCAAAGCAAATCAATAAGGGACATAAACTGGTTAAAAGTCATGAAATTCTCCAAGAAATCTGTTGGAAAAATGTCTTAGGTAACGAACTGTAGGCTCCTATTTAGCCATATGATTTACAAACTGGAAGACATCTTAGAGATGACATAGTCCAAGGGCCACAAATTTGGATGCTGTAGGAGACAGGCAGGTATATAAATCAGTGCAGTGAGACAGCTGGGGAAAGTAGTACCCACTACTCCCATCTTCAAGGGACAGATGTTACTTGACTTGATCAGATTGCTGCCATGTAAAAACATAGACCAGTGCTGCCTTACTTTACATTCTTTTCAGGAGTCAGAGGAATTCTGAGCCAGAAATCTGTATATGAATTTTAATTATTATACTCATTTTTTAAAGATGAAAATTCATGAAAAAAAATCTTTTTGTGTGCAGTATTCAAAGTGGGGGGGCCACCCATTTTTGATTGCTAATGAATCCTCCACATTTAAAGCTGTGGAAACTAGGGGCGCCCAGGTGGTTCAGTGGGTTAAAGCCTCTCTGCCTTTGGCTCAGGTCATGATCCCAGGGTCCTGGAATCGAGCCCCGCAACGGGCTCTCCGCTCAGCGGGGAACCTGCTTCCTCCTCTCTCTCTCTGCCTGTCTCTCTGCCTACTTGTGATCTTTGTCTGTCAAATAAACAAAATCTTTAAAAAAAAAATTAATTAAAAAAATAAAGCTGTGGAAACTAAGTGCACATTAGGTAAAATAATCCATCCAGATGGTTAGAGGCAAAGCAAAGATTTACCTTTTTTCCTTTTTTTTTTTTTTTTAAAGTAATCTCTACACCCAATGTGGGGCTTGAACTCACAACCCTGAGATTAAGAGTCACACGTTCTTCCAACTGAGCCAGCCAGGTGCCCCTATTTTTAATTAAAACTAAAAGATAATTATAACGATCCTATGAATTCAATAATAATCAACTAAGAAATAAAATATGTACTTTCAAATTTTTAGTGTTTTTTCCTTAAAAATAATGAGGCATTTAAGAAGAGCGTCCTTTTTATGTCTTACTATAATTCTAAGAAAATTGCAGGTGTTAGCAACTATTTCTTACTTATAATAAAACACTTTTTTAAAACTTACAAAAAATAATTGCTTTACTGAAATATAATTCACATACCATAAAGTTTACCTATAAAAAATTAAAATTCTTTTTTTACCTTTTTATTTATAAGAAACCACTGGGGTTTGTGCAAAGGTCGAAAACTTGATCCTCCTCCTTGGCAATGAGCAAATCCTCGGGCTTTGTTGGAATGTATCACACCTCTTGTAGCTATGGATATACTATATTGATTGAGTAAAGACCGTGTCTAAAAAGGAGACAAAATGTAAAATAAAGAAAATAAGAGATTTATAATGCAGTGCTACTACTGGTACTGCTGATGCCAAAAAAATACTAATCATATTTACTTAATGTATGTTCACTGTTCTTTTTAGTATTTATTGATTTATTTTAGAGAGAGAGAGAACATGCACATGCGTGATTCAGGGAGGGGCAGAGGGAAAGAATCTTCAGCAGACTCTCTGCTGAGTGTGGGGAGGAGCACCAAGTTCAGGGCTTGATCCCATGAACCATGAGATCACAACCTAAGCTGAAACCAAGAGTTTTATTACTGTTATTAAGAAGTTACATAAGGGGCCCCTAGGTAGCTCAGTCGGTTAAGCATCTGCCTTTGGCTCACGTCATGATCCCAGCTTCCTGGGATCAAGTCCCGAGTTGGGTTTTCTGCTCAGCGGGGAGTCTGCTTCTCCCTCTGCCCCTCTCCCTAGCTCGTGCTCTCTCTCTCTCAAAAATAAATAAAATCTTAAAAAAAAAAAAAAGAAGTTACGTAAGATGTCAAATAATGAGGGGTAAAAGTAAACTTTCTAAATTCTGAGGAAATATTCATAAACAAAAACAGTTAAGTCAAATGGTCTTACATTCCAGTCACTGCTGAGGATATCTGCAAAACTCAGAAAATCGCTGGCTCTGACAAGATCATCTACTTCCACGAAGAAATCTATGTAGTTTTGGTGAAGATATAAATTAAATAGCTCTCCAGGCATGTGTGACATTTCTACTACTTCCTATAAAAAGAAGCATACACACATAATTTAGTAAAATGCAGTGGTTAAACGTACATATGCATGAATGTAAATAATATATATCCTGTAAAAAGTACTAAATATTATTAAAGACTTTACCTCAGGTTGAACAAGTAAGGTATCCCGCTCATACTCTGATAAATGCGAAGGCAACCGAGGAGAATCTATTTCTGCTAAAGATGCTCCTATAAAAAAATTTCTGGAATTATTAAAAATAGCACCACCTACAGTTCCATAGAACCACTCATTGGAAGTTTCTTTCAACACTTTAGACACATAATACCAAACATATTAAGCAAGATGTCAAAAATAAAAAAACTAAGAAACTGGAAGCTTATGTGAGTTGCCTCACTATTACAGTGCCTTGCTGCTGTATATACATTAAGTTGTCTCTCATCATCACTATTCTTAAGAACTCAAATTAGAATTCTGGTACCTGGATTATGGCTTTTCTAGAAATAAAATACTCCAATTGTCAAAGCACTCTGCAGCATTTCACCTTTTCAGTTCTGCATTGCTTTCTTCTTTTGTTTTAAATATTTTTTTTTCTTTTTTTTATGTATTTGACAGACAGAGGTCACAAGTAGGCAGAGAGGGAGGGAGAGAGAGAGGAGGAAGCAGGCTCCCCGCTAAGCAGAGAGCCCTATTCGGGGCTCGATCCCAGGACCTGGAATCATGACCCAAGCCGAAAGCAGAGGCTTTAATCCACTGAGCTACCCAGATGCCCCTTGTTTTAAAGATTTTATTTATTTATTTGACAGAGAGAGAGAGACAGACAGCGGGAGAGGGAACACAAGCAGGGGGAATCAGAGAGGGAAAAAGCAGGCTTCCTGCCGAGCAGGGAGCCCAAAGCGGGTCTTGATACCAGCACCGTGGGATCATGACCTGAGCTGAAGACAGATGCTTAATGACTGAGCCACCCAGGAATCCCATGCTTTCTTCTTTTAATTCTCATTCTCAATATAAAGATCTTTACTGTTCTCTTTACTGTGTAGGATGAAGCTGCTTTCTGCATAAGAGAACAGAAACCCTGGTTCCCTGATTCAAGAAGTTATAAATGAATGTTGAGAAGGAAAACAAAAGGTAGAAGGAAAAGAATCAGTGGGAAGAGACACTCAGATTCAGAGGTAAGAGATCCAAGGACAGAAGTGTGTCTTCACTTCTATCTAAGTGTGCCTGTTTCATTTTGTTCGAGTGGCATGAAGGCTTCCATTTAGAAATCCCAAATTTTCAACTATCTGGAAAGAAGAAACTGAGAGATATTAGTCTAAAATAAGAAGGATGCCAGGACTGAGAAGCAGTGATAGACAACAGAAGACAAAGAGGCAAGGAAGATAAGAAGATGGAAAATAAGTATGGGAGGCACTCAAGAGTTTTATAGGAAGATAAAAACAGTTGTTTAAAACAGCTGGGTTTTTTAGCAACCAAAAATTAGGCTCAGATAGTAAGAGGTGTGATAAGCATGAAGCTTCAATGAATGTCCGTTCACATACTATTTATGACCCACTGAAGCAGCTATTTTACAAGAAGTTTGAAAAACTATCTGAGAGGAAATTGAGAACACGACACAGAACTTATCTCAATGGTCCATTATGATTATTTACTTTGTGGTTTAACAGATAAAACAGTTCCAAACTATGGGAACAGTCTCCTTCAAAATTTTTAAGAACTGTTTCAATCTATATAAAGGCATGTCAGATCCTGCCCCCCACCCCCAATCCTAATTCTCTTCCTTCAGGATCAGCACATTAAGAACTGATATTTTCTACATGAAAAACAGAAGTCTGGGATTTTATTGAAGGGAAAACCAATCTGGGAACTTAGGGATCAGTGATCCGGGTGTAGGGACTGAAGGGAAGCAGGCATTAAAGAAGGAAAAGGGAAAAAGAACATCAATGGTTGGGGGAGAGAGCAGGTAGTGAAGAGAAATATTAAGGAGATCCAAAGAAGCCTGAAGCTACCTGGCAACTTGCCTAGGGTTCTGGTGTCCAGAGTTTAGCCCAAGAGGGCTTTGGGCTACCAACACCTGCCACTAAAATTCTAGAGAAACTGATGTCTTACCTGCAGCAAACTATACTTTTAAAGATTTACAGACATGGATATTTGGTCTACAGTAGTTTTTACATTTAGTCCTACCCAGTCTAAAAACACTCTATCTAAATACACTTACCTGCTATGTCTCAGGCCTTGCCGAATAGAATCAGACCTACCCCTGCCAAATACGTCACATTTTCAAAAACTCGTATTTAATTTTTTTTAACTCATATTTAATTTTAGTTGTAAGACTAATGTCTAGCAGATTTAAAAAAAAAAAAAGTTAAGACTTTCTTACTTTTACAATATAGTATTTTCCCCAGAGCTCTGAAGAGAAAAAGAGAAATATCTTTGCCACCAATAGCTTGGACCTCTTGGTTTTCAAAAACCCTATCAGTTTTTTTCCTTTGTTTTGATTTTGACAGCGCAGCAGCTGATTTTATTGAAGACAATGCTTTCTTCCTTGGCCATAAATGGTTTTCTCCTAAATAATACACATCCAAGAGACAATATTGAAAATAAAATTAAAATATGAAAAATAAGACTGACAACATTTTATATAGTTACACTAAATAGTCTAATTAAAATATATTTTTTCTAATAAAGTGTAATTATAAAATATGTGAATTGAGTAACAGTCGTCTTTGGGTTGCTACACTATGAAAATGGAATAAAACATCACCTGAAAGTACATCATGACACAGATTTTAAATTTTATGCATAGAAATGACACATTCTCTAATATAGGCCTATCATTTTGATTTCTATTGGCACTGCTTGTGCAATGTACTGTTCTTGATGCATGCATGATAGATATTAGTCCATTAAATCCTGAAAATAACTTGATTAGGGGAGAACTCTTATTATACACATTAAAGATAGGAGATATAAAGAGATTAAGTAACTGCCTCAAGGGCATCAGCTTCTAAGTGATATGAATCCAGGCAGCACAGTTCTGTAGTGCATGTTCAACAACTATTCTGTATTACCTTCCTACCGATTTGGGCACTCTTCAATTTATGAATATGCCAGTGTTGAAATTTCGGTAGTCAATCTACTGTTCAAAACTCAGAATGCATCCCTTAAGAAAAGTAGCCTGGAAGAGCAGAAAAAACTAGGATCTGGGTTTGATTCTTATTACTGGCTATCTCATTAAGCTGGTCAAGAATTAAAGGAATCAATATACGATTGCTAATACGGTTCCTAACCCACTCAAAAAATATTATTTTCTTCCTTTTAACATTTCTGAGCTAAGAGTAATAATGTTATAAGTGACAGGATAGCAAACTGGCCTACTTCAGCCTTCCCAACCCATAATTCCAGTAGTGAACCTAAGCACCACTTATATTTATTTTTCTATTTATTTTATTTTTCTCCTTAATATTTCTACAGGAATAAACAGAATTCTTATTTCAGTTGTATTAAGCTGCCCATTTACTTTTCTCTACAGTTATTTTGAAAAACAAAGACATAAACTAAACAGATTATTCTTGTAGGTAAACACTAGGATTTCAGGTGGGTTCTGAGAACTCCAAAGATGGCTTTTAATTTTTCAAGGTGAATTCCTCAATGTGAAACATCAAGCAGGGTGCTTGTTAAATGTTTTCTGACAAGGACCATGTACAAGAAACCATGTGCTATCTTTCTATATACATATACATTTTTAAAGATTTATTTATTTGAGAGAGAGTGCATGTGGGCACATGAGAAGGGAGAGGCGCAGAGGGAGAAAACCCTTAAGCAGACTCCCTGCTAAGCACTAAGCCCCACAGGGAGCTCCATCCATGACCCAGGAGAACATAACCTGAGCCAAAACCAGGAATTAGTCGCTCAACCTACTGAGCCAACCAGGCACCACTTTCCCTCCCCACTTTTTTTTTTTTAAGTAGGCTCCATGCCCAACATGTAGCCCAACACAAGGGCCTAAATTCAGGACCCTGAATTAAGACCTCAGCTGAGATCAAGAGTCAGATGTTTAATCAACTGAGCCACTATGACACCCCTGTGCTACCTCTTTTAATATAGCATGACACTGTACCTTCCTTACAATAAACGTAAATCAATTTATTAATTGTATCATATATAAATTAAAAATAGGGAATATATAGGTGGCTCAGTTCGTTAAACATCTGCCTTTGGCTCAGGTCATGATCCCAGAGTCCTGGGATCAAGTCCCGAATCAGGTTCCCTGCTCAGCAGGGGAGCCTGCTTCTCCCTCTCCCTTGGCCTGCAGCTTCCCCTGCTTGAGTATTCTCTCTGTGTCAAATAAATAAAAATCTCTGGGGTGCCTGGGTGGCTCAGTGGGTTAAGCCTCTGACTTCAGCTCAGGTAATGATCTCAGGGTCCTGGGATCAAGCCCCACATTGGGCTCTCTGCTCAGCAGGGAGCCTGCTTCTCCCTCTCTCTCTGCCTGCCTCTCTGCCTACTTGTGATCGCTCTCTGTTAAATAAATAAATAAAAATCTTTAAATAAATACAAATCTTTAAAAAAATTAATTAAAAGTAAATACAAAGGTGAACCTGTATAAGCACAATACTATATATTTCTTAAAGATCTATTTTTTTATATATATTTTAAAGATTTTATTTATTTATTTGAGAGAGAATGAGTGAGAGAGCATGAGAGAGGAGGAGGTCAGAGGGAGAAGCGGACTCCCCAAGGAGCTGGGAGCCTGATGCGGGACTCGATCCTGGAAGTCCAGGATCATGACCTGAGCCGAAGGCAGTCGCTCAACCAACTGAGCCATGCAGGCACCCAAAGATTTATTTTGGAGAGCACACCCACATGCACTCAGGGGGGAGAGGGAGAGAGAAAACTTCGATCAGGCTCCATGCCCAACATGGAGCCCCAGGTGGGGCTTGATCTCACAACCCTGAGATCATGACCTGGGCTGAAATCAAGAGTCGGACACTTAACTAACTGAGCCATGCAGGTGCCCCTCGGCACAATACAATTAAAATTCACTAACAGCTGATCATTTACTGACTCCTTAATATATATCAAGCACTAGAATAAACACTCTACAAATATTAACTCACTTTTCACACAACTCTGTAAGAGAGGTTCTCATATAAAAGGTGAGAATATGCAGGCAAAAAAATAATTGTCATTTGCAAGATTCTTCACCAGTAAATGGCAAAGCCAGAATTTTCACCCAGGAAGTCTCATCCAAATTAACTTTAAAAAGTCAAGTAGCAATAAATAAATTAATTAAATTAAAAATTAAATCATAAATAAATAAATAAATAAATAAAAAGTAAAGTAGCAAATCACCTAATTGAATCAGGTTTTATCTCAGGTATACAGGTACATACAATGACAAATTCATAAAGTGTGTGTATGCATGTGTACATACATAATTTTACAGAACAGTCTCAAAAAAAAAAATAGATGGAGATATATATCAATTATAAGTTAAAATATGTTTAGTTTGATTTCGATTCATGAACAACTAAGAGAAAGTCAGTCACCCGAACAGTGCAGTAAGAATTTATCTTTCACAGTTACCTTTTGAAGAAGAAAACTGGAGGCTGTTTATTGCACTTCTGATATCACCAGAACACCCTTGACAGAGCAACTCTAGAGAACTTCTATCAGGGACAGTAATATTTCCTCCATTCTAAAATGAAAAAAATTAAAGTTTAAAAAACTAGTTTCTAAAACCAAAAAAACAGCTCCCGTTTCTAAACTAAATGAAAAAGTACATTAGAAACTTTTAAAGTTAGATGCTAAAAAGCTTCCATGTTAAATGCCAGTCTGCTCAGGAAAGCCAATGACTTATCATAGCTTAAGGTAAATTGTCAAGAGTATAAAATAATTTCACTTGCTTACTTGGACTAGATTATATTTTGAAGTTCTCTTACTATAAACACATGTATATATAAATACACACACACACACACACACACACACACACACACACATATATATATACATACATACATATAAACATTACTCCCTTGTCAGTTCAAGTATAAGACCAGAAAAATTTATCTATCCCTCTCCACCTTAAGAAACTCCTAATTGTTTCCTGACAACATGATTTAAATTGATTCCAGGTCATGATCTCAGGGACCTGGGATTGAGTCCTACAGTGGCTCCATGCTCAGTGGGGAGTCTGCCTGAGATTCTCTCCCTCTGCCCATCCCCCTGCTTGTGAATACACATACACGTTCTCTAATAAGTAAATCTTTAAAAAATATATATATATTTCTGTGGAAGGAAAATTGCCTCCAAAGTGTCTCTAGCAATTACGAATTTATTTTTTTCTACCAATAGTTATGTGAGAGTGCTAATTTTTTATCTTTGGCAACCCTGTTTATTGATCTCTTAAAATTTCTGCAAACTGTTATGTGAAAAATGGTGTCTGGTTTAAATATTAATTTCTTTGATTACCAGTAGGGCGAAATACCTCTCATGTTTACTGGCCATTTGTATTACTCTGTGTATTGGCTTCTCTGTTCTTGGAATTTTTACTGATTTATTTATTTTTTTAAAAGCTTTTATTTATTTTTGCAAGAGAGAGGGAGAGCACACTAGAGCAAGCACAAGTGGGATGAGGAGCACAGGGAGAAGCAGACTTCCTGTTGAGCAGGGATTCCCAATGTGGATCTCGGTCCTGGGACTTCAGGATCATGAACTGAACCAAAGGCAGATGCTTAACTGACCGACTCATCCAGGCACTCCTGTCCTTAGCCTTTTTAGGTAGGCACATTTTTATATATTCATATATTAATACTTTATCTTATATAAATTGCAGATATTTTCTTCCATTCTCATGCTTGTCTTTTACCTTAGCTTACCATGCCTTCTATCATTCCCTGAGCTTTTCATTTTTCTGAAGTAAATCCAATCCAATGTTTTTAGGGCTTTTGTTTCTTATTTAGGAATACTATCCCTCAAACCAAAGTCAGTACTTTTTCTTAATACTATTCTCATTTGAGGGTGCCTGGGTGGCTCAGTGGGTTAAGCATCTGCCCTTCACTTAGATCATGATCTGACTGATCAGATCATGATCACGATCTCCAGGTCCTGGTTTCAAACCCCAAGTCCAGCTTCCTGCTTAGCAGGGAGTCTGCTTCTCCCTCTCTCCTGTTCTGTCCCTCCCTACTGCTCATCTTCTCTCTCAAATAAATAAAATCTTTTAAAAAAGATTGTCTTTTTTTTTTTTTGTATTCAGATCTTTCATTTACCCAGAAATCTTTTTCTAAAGATTATTTATTTTACAGAGAGCACATGTGTGAGTAGGAGAGTGAGCAGAGGGAAAGATCCTCAAGCAGACTCCCCACTGAGCGCATAGACCAAGGCAGGGATCATGTCAGGACCCTGAGATTGTGACCTGAGCCAAAATCAAGACTCGGAGGCTCAACTGACTGAGCCACTTAGGTGCCCCTACCCAGAAATTATTTTTGTGCACAGTATAAAGATGCAACCTTATGTTTCCCACATGGATATCCAATTGTGCTAATATCACTTTTTAATTATAATAGTCTCCTCTCTCCCCAGTGTAAAATGCTACTTCCATTATACAGAAAATTGTCATTTACACATACTGATATATTTCTGTGCTGTCTTCTAACTGAATCCTTCCTTTTGTCTGTTACCATGTCAATAGTACACAGCTGTAATATTTATAGTTTTACATTGTGTTCCAATACCTAGATAGCAAGTCTCTATTCACTACTCTTTTACCAAAATTTTCCTGCTCATGTTTGTGAATTTCTCTTCCAGATTACCTTCACTTTTATTCTGGATACATTTATTTTATTTAAAATTGTTTCAAGAGTATTTGTTTTTGAAAACTTCTAGTGTGGACTACTTGCCAAAAAGGAAATGTAATTTTTTTTTTTTTTTTAAAGATTTCATCCATTTATTTGAGAGAGTGTGAGAGAGAGAACATGACTGGGCAGGAGGGGCTGATGGAGAGGGAGAAGTAGACTCCCCACTGAGCAAGAAGCCTGACCCAGAGCTCGATCCCAGGACCCTGAGATCATGACCTGAGCTGAAAGCAGACATTTAACTGAGCCACGCAGGCACACCAGGAAATGTAATTTGAAATCATGATCCTTTGTAGCTGAAGGAAATGCCACAGATGGTAATCACTTTGAACACACAAATGTGACTGAAATGTATCATCACACTTTACATACATAACAATATCAACAAAAAGACTAAAGATCTTTTTTTCCTTGTAAAAACAGAAAAACATCTATTTAAGCTAAAAACAAAACACAACAACAACAACAACAAAACCCCCCAAAACCTAAGATATTCACCATTCTTTTAACTAAATCACTTAAGATGTCAACAGTCTTGGGACGCCTGGGTGGCTCAGTCAGTTAAGCTGCTACCTTTGACTCAGGTCATGATCCCAGGGTCCTGGGATCAAGTCCTGTATGGGGCTCCTTGCTTGGCAGGAAGCCTGCTTCTCTCTGCCTCTGCCTGCCTCTCTGCCTGCTTGTGTGCACTCTCTCTCTGACAAATAAATAAAATAAATCTAAAAAAAAAAAGAGAGAGAGAGAGATGTCAACAGTCTTTCTTAATATAATTAACTGAGCTACAGAATGCCAGACATTAAAATGACCTTTTGATTTTCTTCTACCATCATTATCATTGTTGAGGATGCCAGATAGTATCTTAACATTTCATTTTATAAAAGCGTGAAAGACTTGAATAGTGTGCTGGTTGCTGCCCCTGTGATGTAACAGTGTAAACAATACTATCAAAACTACACCAGTTTTAGGGGCACATGGCTGGCTCAGTCAGTAGCATATGTGACTCTTTTGATCTTGGGGTTGTAAGTTCAAGCCCCATGGTGGGTGGAGGTTACTTAAAAATTTTAAAAATCGTAAAAGAAAAAAAGGTATACTAGTTTTAACATTCTTGTAGATCCACTATTTAAGGTATAGCATGTTAATTACGTAACAAAAAAGTCATGGAATCTCTTTTCACTATTCTAACACAACTTGCTAAAGTGAATGCCATTTGCAATTTAATGACTTAGTCTTTTTTTTTTTTTTTAAGATTTTACCCATTTGTCTGACACAGAGAGAGAGATCACAAGTAGGCAGAGAGGCAGGCAGAGAGAGGAGAAAGAAGCTCCCTGCTGAGCAGAGAACCTGATGCAGGGCTCGATCCCAGGGCCCCGACACCATGACCCAAGCTGAAGGGAGGCCCAACCTCCTGAGCACCCAGGTGCACCTAAAGACTTAGTCTTGAAAAAAGTTTTGAGTTAATGTGGTAAGGTGCTATGATGTTGATTATGTTTATTCTCAATGTTTGTTTAATAAATATTTCAAAGCTATAATTTATAGTTATGCTCCTGGTGCAAAAGGTAGACTTTTTTTTAAAAAAGACATTAAAAAAACAAATCACAAGTAATCCTACCATCCAGAACCAATCACCCTCAGCATTTTTATGTACTTTCTTCTAGTATGTACAGGTTCAAGTATATATGTGCATTCTGCTGTTACTGAAAATGTTTTAGCACAGTGAAATGGAGTTAGAATGAAACTTTAAGCCTATCTGATACTTAATAGTTGTGGGATATTATGCAAGTTATTCCCCCACCCAAAAGCTATTTCCTTATCTGTAAAATAGGGATTATGTACCAGTTTTGTATGGTTATGGTGAGATTTAATAAGATCAAGTATGTAAAAATACTCTGCATAGTGCCTGACATATATCAAGGGCTGAAGATACAATTTCTATTGTTAGCACTGTAACTTCACTTATTCATTTACTTATTTAAAATAACCTCTACACCCAGTGAGGTCACGACCCCCAGATTAAGAGTTCCATGCTCTTCTGGATGAGCCAGCCAGGTGCCCCAGCATCTTGTTATTTTTAACTTGACAATTAAATCGTTATTTTCTCGTGTCACTAAAAATCCTCAAAACACTAATTAATCACATGATACCTCACCATAATAACTGCTCCCTCTGTTACTGGACTCAGTTTGTTTCTAATTTTTCACTATTAATAGTTTTTATTTAAGTGCTCTACATAATACATTATTTTGTTTAATCTACAAAGTAAACTATCCCTTGGAGATTTCCCTCAGTACTATGATCTGAGCAGTGTGAAAAAACCTTCTATTTCGTGTAAGATCTAGTTGATTTATAGCAGTAGGCCCCCAGAACCATGCTGTTGGAAGAAGTTCCATCAATTTATTTTAACATCATGCTGATTTGAAAGATAGAAAAAAATGATGTATAACAAATGACTACAGCTATTTTACAACGTTAATATATGTAACACTACTGAACTATACACTTAAAAATGGTTAAATGGTAGAGTTGATAATACCACATAACTATTTGAAAGCTGCTAATAAGCGAGCAGATCTTAAATGTTCTCACCACAAAAAAGAAATGGTAATTACATGAAGTAATGGAGGTATTGTGTAATGCCATAGTGGTAATCATTCTGCAATACGTAAGTAATCAAATAAACATGCTGTACACCTTAAACTTAATAAACAATATTACATGTCAAGTGTCTCTCCATAACATCAGAAAATAAATGATTAAGATGGTAAATCTTATGGTAAGTTTTTTACAATAAACATATTATTAAATTTTTAAAAAATTGACAACAGGACAAGAGTAGTGTTGGACTGTTGATGATTAATATACCTAGAGGCCAGGAAAGTTTCTTTTCCTTTTTTTTTTTTAAGATTTTATTTATATATTTGACAGGCAGAGATCACAAGTAGGCAGAGAGGCAGGCAGAGAGAGAGAAGGAAGCAGGCTCCCTGCTGAGCAGAGAGCCCAATGCGGGGCTCAATCCCAGGACCCTGGGATCATGACCTGAGCCAAAGGCAGAGGCTTTAACCCACTGAGCCACCCAGGCGCCCCCCAGGAAACAGTTTCTTGACAGTAGACACAATTTATAGCACTGAGCCAAGCAAAGGGAAATTTACCTCAATGTGAAAGAGAAAACTAGGTTTAATAATAGAGAAATGTTAGAGATTTTTAAAATCAGTATTTCCTGCCTTTTCAAGAATGACAGGCCTGATGAATATAAGCAAATATTTTAATTCTAAAAAGTGAAATAATGTGTTTCTAACTCCACAAGTATGGTTTTCTAATGTAAGATTCAGATTAATCTGCTCTCTGCCTGCCTCTCTGCCTACTTGTGATCTCTGTCAAATAAATAAATAAAATCTTAAAAAAAAAAAAGATTCAGATAATCAGTTCTTAAGAGACTTACCTTGTTAGCTTCCACTGTCACTATTCGATTAAGAAATTTCATCATAATTGTTGGTGCCACAGGGTTAAAACTGTTAAAAAAGTATTTTAAAGAAAAATAGTGGTTAAATGATCAATTTAAAAATATATATATGAACGTTATAAGCAGAAATTTCATTCTTACCTAATGTTTGCTATAGCACACTCTTCCTGAATTTCTTTGGGAAACAATAACCTCTGATTATTATCTCCACTGAGACTGTCAGAAATTATAAATATTAGAGGACATCGACCAGTGTGCACATATTTCCTAGAATAAAGTACAGCAATGTTTAAATACAAGCTAATGCCCTTTAATTCAAAGTTTGAGAAAACTTCACTGAAACTCACCTGAGAATTTCATGTAAAGTATGAGAATCTCGATAAAACTGGTTAGGTAAATCCTATTGAAAAATGGTAAATATTACCAGTTATATTATTGTGTAAGTTTATGTAAGACTTGTATTTACCAAATTAGGGAAAAAATGTTATATATACAATTCAAAAATTAAGGAAAACATGAAAAAGTGGATGTACTAAACAGTAAAATGCATCAATAGGAAACCCAATTTTCAATCAAATTTCTTAGGATCACTACTAGTTACAGTATTTTCACTAAAAACATCATTTGCCAAATAATTTCTTTAGCTTTTCTATACTGAAGACATTAAAATTTTAAAGTTCATTAACTTATAGCTTTTATTCAAGTTTACTGAAAAAGACCTGAGGTTTCCGCTATCACCGAGCTTTTACATTACATTTTACCACTATTAATACCATGGAGAGAATTAATGCCCCTATCAATAAGATATATCTTGCAATTATTTACTCTATAGTTACAGCAGGATCTCAAAATCTGTCCATACTTCAACGAGAATTATCCTCTTATCAGTTCTTAGATCATCTCCAAGCATTTGTAGTCTGTTATACTTTGTTGCTCTTAGTAGAAACTCTTTAAAAACTGCTATTTGAGACTGGTAGGGAAATATATGGAAGCTGGATTCTGAAAAAAAAAATTAACACTTTTACTTTCAACAAATTATGTATACATCAAAATTACACACCTAAGTAACACACACATATACATTACTGATTACATTCACATATACCTGAAGCTTACAAAATTGTAGATTTTTTTTATTTAGGCAAAGCTGTACAAATTTAAAATAGGATATTCATGGGGTGCCTGGGTGGTTCAGTGGGTTAAGCCTCTGCCTTCAGCTCAGGTCATGATCTCAGAGTCCTGGGATCGAGCCCCGCATTGGGCTCTCTGCTCAGCAGGCAGCCTGCATCCCTCCCTCTCTCTGCCTGCCTCTCTGCCTACTTCTGATCTCTCTCTGTCAAATAAATATATAAAATATTTTAAAAAATAAAACAAAATTAGATATGCACTTCAAAAAACAAGAGTCATCACGGACCACAATGAATTTTCTATAACAATGAATGTAATATGGAATTAACTGACTTTAGAACACAGCTACTAATGTAATAATCACACAACTGGTAAAAACATTTACATCTTTGCCTATACAATTAAAAAAACTCCAAATGAGTGTGTTGACAATGAATCAATTAGTCAGACTTAATCCTTAAAGAATCCCATTCTCTTGCGGCACCTGGGTGGCTCAGTGGGTTAAAGCCTCTGCCTTCGGCTCAGGTCATGATCTCAGGGTCCTGGCATCAAGCCCTGCATCGGGCTCTCTGCTGAGTGGGGAGCCTGCTTTCCCCTCCCTCTCTGTCTGCCTCTCTGCCTACTTGTGATCTCTGTCAAATAAATAAATAAATAAAATCTTAAAAAAAAAAAAATCCCATTCTCCTCTACTAGAAGCAAGCTTCCCCTCTTCTCAAAGTATTTCTGTCTGAAACTGGGAAGTAGGAAAGAAAATGGTCTCATATGGTTTCATGTGATCGCTACTGTCATTTTGTGAACCTACTGATAGTGGATAGATGTCAATCTAGCATAGGAGTGACAACATATATTTTCGCACAAAAACATATACCCAGGGGCGCCTGGGTGGCTCAGTCATTAAGCCTTTGCCTTCAGCTCACGTCATGATCCCCGGGCCCGGGGATCAACGCCCACATCAGGCTCCCTGCTCAATTAGCCTGCTTCTCCCTCTCCCTCTACCTGTAGCTTCACCTGCTGTGCTCTCTCTGTCAAATAAATTTTTAAAATCTTAAAAACAAAACAAAACGAAACGAAACAAAAAACATACCCAAAAGGATCTTAGGAATCTCAAGAATAGAGTTGGGGAGGTTATTTCAAACCTCCTTTAAACATAGACTTTTCCCACTATTTCTACTACGTTCATAGCAAACCTTACCAGGATTAAGTATCTCCTTGAAATCATCTTTTTGGAAGTCTGATAAAATTGGATTAATCCACTCTTGTACTTGAATACCATGCTCCTTTGATAGTATTTTTAGAGTTGTTGTTTTCCCACATCCAGGAGGACCTGTTATTAATAAAATAGATCCACCCTAAAACCAAATACAAATATTAATCAAAAATCAAAATCACACACACAAAAATCAAAATCATTGGAATGCTAGAATGTTATATTGGAATTTTTTTTATGTTTGAATTTTCTTTCAAATATTACTTCCATAAAGATTTACTAAATATCTGAAATAAGCTAACTTATTTAACACAGATGTTACCTGGATTATACCAGCTTTAGATGAAAGAGGATAATCTTATTTCTTCAACTTTAAGCATAACTTCTGATAGTTCTTCAATTCTTACACTATGTCTCTCCCAAGGACTACTTAGTAGCCAAATTAAAACAACTAAACTTCAGCTAGATTAAGGAGATAATGTCTGAAACAAGTATTTTTAGAGGTTACTTGAACTCAAAATTCAAACTTAATACAGATCTCTTTGGATTATATGCTTTAGTATTAAACAAGTATAATATTCTGCTGGGAAATGTAGGATATCAGAATCGTTACAAAACGTGTTTTTTTTTTTTTTTTTAAGATTTTATTTATTTATTTGACAGAGAGATCACAAGCAGGCAGAGAGGCAGGCAGAGAGAGGAGGAAGCAGGCTCCCTGCTGAGCAGAGAGCCCCATGCGGGGCTCGATCCCAGGACTCCAAGATCATGACCCGAGCCGAAGGCAGCGGCTTAACCCACTGAGCCACCCAGGCGCCCCCAAAACGTGTTTTAAGAAATTATTTTCCAGGGTGCCTGGGTGGTTCAGTTGGTTAACCAACTGCCTTTGGCTCAGGTCATGATCCCGGAGTTCCGGGATTGAGTCCCACATCGGGCTCCCACCTCCACTGGTAGTCTGCTTCTCCCTCTGACCTTCTCCCCTCTCATGCTCTCACTCTCTCTCTCAAATAAATAAATAAATCTTTAAGAAAAAAAAGAAAAAGAGAAAGAAAAATATTTTCCAGAGATAGAACTCCAAAGAGAGACTATAGGTTGTAGGTCATAATAATATCTCCTCGTGTAATAAATCTGATTAAAAAAAAAGTTAAAGTTAAAAATATATCAGGGGACGGGGCGCCTGGGTGGCTCAGTGGGTTAAAGCCTCTGCCTTCGGCTCAGGTCATGATCCCAGGGTCCTGGGATCGAGCCCCACATCGGGCTCTCTGCTCAGCAGGGAGCCTGCTTCCTCCTCTCTCTCTCTGCCTGCCTCTCTGCCTACTTGTGATCTCTGTCTGTCAAATAAATAAAAATAAAATCTTAAAAAAAAAAAAAATATATATATATCAGGGGAAGATGATTTCCTAAATTCCCTGATGGGCTATAATCCTTGCTCAGCTGTTTACCTTTACTAACTAATGCAAATAAGGGACCTTGTACATGGCCCCAGAGGACAACCCGTCCTACTTTTTAAAATGTATGAGTGCATGAGTTATAGTGATATTAGCCATGACTTTAATGATTAAATAATATATATTAAATATGGTGTCTCTGATCAAATACAGAAAACAAGGTTATATATTGATGAGTTGATGTAAAGGTGACCAAATAAAGACTGTTTAGCAGGAATCTAAATCCTTACTTCTCATTGGAACTATGACTCAGTATTTGCTTACTGTTTCTAGTAACTTTACAAGACATACCTAATGTAAATAATGAGAACTGACTACTTCCAAGGAGATTTAAAAAAAAAGAGGATGATCAAGCATGGACACCCAGGTACGTTTTTTTTTTTTTAAAGATTTTATTTATTTATTTGACAGAGAGAGCGATCACAATTAGGCAGAGAGGCAGGCAGACAGAGTGGGGAAAGCAGGCTCCCTGCTGAGCAGAGAGCCCGACGCAGGGCTCGATCATGACCCGAGCCGAAGGCAGAGGCTTAACCCACTGAGTCACCCAGGTGCCCTCCATGTATGTTTCTTATATAATAAAGTGCCTTATTTTTTGACGGAGTGAGTAGAGCCACATAGCAAAAGTTTTGCTTCCAATAAGTGGGAGATAGTCTATGAGAACACTAAAACATGAAGACTTTTGTTAATGTTCCCATCGTCTACAGTATAGTAGGCTTTTCTTCATTGTTTTAAACTGAAGTAAAAATGGCATATAGCATCCTAATGGTTTGTACATCATAGTGATTCAATATTTTTATGTCTTACAAAATGATTATAAGTCTAGTTATCATGTCACTATATAAAGTTACTACAATATTACTGACTATATCCACTATGCTGTACATTACATTTCCATCACACTGTAACAGTTTTACTATATTCTGAAAATGTTGCTCTGAAAAATTAAATTCAGTATTTTAAGTACTTACAATAAATTTAAGAAAAAATAATTTTAGCTTGTCCACAGAAAAATCTATACATTGTCAAAAATTTGGGGGGGCTGCCTGGGTGGCTCAGTGGGTTAAAGCCTCTGCCTTCAGCTCAGGTCATGATCTCAAGGTCCTGGGATCGAGCCCCGAGTCGGGCTCTCTGCTCAGCAGGGAGCCTGCTTCCCTTCCTCTCTCTCTGCCTGCCTCTCTGCCTACTCTGAACTCTGTCAAATGAATAAATAAAAAATCTTAAAAAAAAAAAAATTGGCGGTGGGGGGATGCCTGGGTGGCTCAGTTGCTTAAGCATCTGCCTTCAGTTCAGATCATGATCCCAGCGTCCTGGGATTGAGCCCCATGAACCTTGCTCAGCAGGGAGCCTGTTTCTCCCACTGCCTGCTGCTCCCCCTACTGCCTGCTACTCCGCCTGCTTATGCTCTCTCTGACAAAAAAATAAAATATTTAAAAATATTTTTCTTGCATAAAAATGTCTTATAATTACTGACATCATTGAACTTTTATATAATAAAGAGTATACAACTGGTGAGAGTTCAACTTCTTAGCAGGAAGATTTTATTTTTATTTTTTTAAAGATTTTATTTGTCAGAGAGAGTGGGAGGGAGAGAGAGAGAGAGAATGCACACAAGCAGGGGGAACGGCAGGCAGAGGGAGAAGCAAACTCCTGCTGAGCAACGAACCTGATGAAACACTCGACCCTAAGACCCCTAACCAACCGAGCCACGCAGGTGTCCCAATAAATGAAATCTTGAAAAAAAAAAAAAAATCACCATTTCACAATCTTAACAAAATAACTGATTCAGGCAAGGACTGAAAATGGACACTAAAGCACTTACGTGAAAGACTACGGGGGAAATTGGACTTTTTTTTTTTTCTTAAAGATTTTATTTATTTATTTGACAGAGATCACAAGTAGGCAGAGCAGCAGGCAGAGAGAGAGGGGGAAGCAGGCTCCCTGCCGAGCAGAGAGCCTGATGTGGGGCTCGATCCTAGGACCCTGGGACCATGACCCGAGCAGAAGGCAGAGGCTTAACCCACTGAGCCACCCAGGCACCCCAGGAATTGGACATTTAACATCGTGAAATTATCTCCCTATAGATTATGTGGCAGTCGCAACGGAAAATTACTTCATAATGAAGATTTCTGACTATTACTGGGGTTCCTGAGTGGCTTAGTAGGTTAAGTGTCTGCCTTTGGCTGAGGTCATGATCTCAAGAGTCCCAGGACTGAGCCCCCAGTTGGGCTCCCTACTTAGTGGGGAGCCTGCTTCTTCCTCTCCCCGCCTCTCGCTCATGCTCTCTCTCTCTAATAAATGAATAAAATCTTAAAAAAAAGAAAGATTTTTACTATTATTTCCTTAATTTAGTGATCAAAGTTAACATGAAAAACAGGAGAACCAAACATATTTTCTGATATGGTGCAATATAAAACATACACCACGACCTAAAAAGTATTCTGAAAAAATGTTCAACTTGAGTCTAATCAAACCCTTAATTCAAACTTCCAGGCCACAGGAAATGGAAGACAGAAGAACAGATTAGTCAGCCTGAAGAGGAAACAACCTGACAAATCTAGAAGGTTAGGGTTCTACACGTCACCTGGCCTGGACTCTCTGGTAAGTCAGTGTCTTAGAGTAAAAGAAAGGGTAAAAGAGGACCATTCTAGATTTTAAAAGACCTAAGGCGTGTAACAATCAAAAGCAACATGTAGTCCTTGATTAGATCCTGGTTGTAACAAATCCACTATAAATAACATTTTGCAGACAAATAGAGAAATGTGAATATAAAACGAGCATTATATAACATTATCTACATGACACTAGATAATTTTGTTAGAATAATGATATATATAACGGAATACTATGCAGCCATCAAAAGAAATGAAATCTTGCCATTTGCAACGACGTGGATGGAACTAGAGGGTATTATGCTGAGTGAAATAAGTCAATTAGAAAAAGACAATTATCATATGATCTCCCTGATATCAGGAATTTGAAAGGCAAAGTGGGGGGTTTGGGGGGTAGGGAAGGAAAAAATGAAACAACATGGGATCGGGATGGAGACAAACCATAAGAGACTCTTAATCTCACAAAACAGAGGGTTGCCGGTGGGGAGGAGGGTAGGGAAAGGGTGGTGGGGTTATAGACACTGGGGAGGGTATGTGCTATGATGAGTGCTGTGCAGTGCGTAAGCCTGACGATTCACAAACCTGCACCCTGGGGCTAATAATACATTATATGTTAATTAAAAAAAAAAGAATATTTTTTATAATATCATTCCATGTTTGTCCATGTTTGAAATTTTCCATATTAAAAAACTAACAAAAAGATTTAAAAAAAAGAATAATGGTATATACAGTCAGTTAGGAAAGTGCTTTATTTTTAAAAAAGAGGCATATGGATATTTCTAGAAGTCTGACTAAAACGTCACATATTCATAATTGAAAATACTTTAAAATACTTAAGAGTGAAAATGAGGTATATAGTAGGCATAAGACTATTCATTTATTATTCTACTTTATTTTTGAAGAATCTCGAAATAAAGTTTAAAAAGAGAGAAAAAAATATTCTAGCTTGAAGGCTAAAAGTAATTACAGAAGTAGGAAGTGAAACAAAAAACATCAGCCTTAAAATGAATGATGACTATTTTAGGCTGTATTTAGTACAAAACTAATATGTAATTTGCTTGCTTGCTTCTGATGTGCTAAATATACTGGCACCCTAACGAGTTTATTATGCTTAATGATGATGATGAGACATAAGTGGATAAAAGAAGTTTAAGAAAGAAACTCAAAATCTCTGAGTCTTTTGGTGAAGTGTATAGGAGTAAATAAGAGACTTTTTTATTGTAGGTGATTTGGACTTAACAAAGTCAACATAAAAGTTTAATTTCTGGAAGACTGGGTGGCTCAGTTAGTTAAACATCTGCCTTCAGCTCAGGTCATGATCCCAGAGTCCTGCGATCAAGCCCTGCATCAGGCTCTCTGCTCCACGGGGAGCTTGCCTTTCCCTCTCCCTCTGCCTGCCGCCTCCCCTGCTTGTGCACACGCATACTCTCTGTCAAATCAAGCAATCGATCTTAAAAAAAAAAAGAAAAAAAGTTTAAGTTCTTACAACCAACTATAAAACAGAGAAACATTTGATGTTATATATTTTAAAACACATTTCTTATTCAATTACCTGTTTTGGTTGCCTTTCTAAGACTTTAGCTTTTAACCAGGTTTCAACTTCTTCAATTTTCTTTTTATGCACAGCAAGTTCATGCTAAAAATTTCAAGTTTAGAACAAAACATTTTAACTCAAGGATTTTTGGTACAGCAGCCCACATTAATCTAAATTAAGCATTTTCAATGAAGAAAACTAGCAAACAACATGATAAGAGAATTTATTTTTTTTAAAGATTTTATTTATTTATTTGACAGAGAGAGATCACAAGTAGACAGAGAGGCAGGCAGAGAGAGAGAGAGAGAGAGAGAGAGAGAGAAGCAGGCTCCCCGCTGAGCAGAGAGCCCGACGCGGGACTCGATCCCAGGACCCTGAGATCATGACCTGAGCCGAAGGCAGCGGCCTAACCTGAGCCACCCAGGCACCCCTGATAAGAGAATTTAAAAGTCTTTGCTATTACACTTCATTTTTTATATTGAAAAATCCTGGGGATGCCTGGGTGGCTCAGTGGGTTAAAGCCTCTGCCTTCGACTCAGGTCATGATCTCATGGTCCTGGGATCAAGCCCCGCATCAGACTCTCTGCTTGGCAGGGAGCCTGCTTCCCTTCCTCTCTCTCTGCCTGACTCTCTGCCTACTTGTGATCTCTGTCTGTCAAATAAGTAAATAAATAATCTTAAAAAAGGGGGGGGGCGCCTGGGTGACTCAGTGGGTTGAAGCCTCTGCCTTCCGCTCAGGTCGTGATCTCAGGGTCCTGGGATTGAGCCCTGTGTCGGGCTCTCTGCTCAGCGGAGAGCCTGCTTCCTCCTCTCTCTCTGCCTGCTTGTGATCTCTGTCAAATAAATAAATAAAATCTTAAAAAAAAAAAAAATTCTATCCTTAACACTGATACTGTTGTCTGAGAATTTGGGGCAGGTTGGGAATTACAAAACTTTAAAATCCTGACATACATTTCTGGGAAGGGAATAAATAGGGAGAGATCTCACATTTAAGAAAATAAACAGATCAATTCTATGTTGGGATTAAATTAAATCTATGACAAATAACCAATGATACAATTTCAGAATTACTTGAGAAATGCTGAGCCATGGAACATAAAAAAACTAGGAATTACTGGGTTTTTTCCTAATTCATTTAGAAAGATTTTTATGAGTAATAATCTGAAAATATATATTCCTCTCCTTCCTGAAATTGCATTATATACACTTGTTTGCATCCTTTTTAGTACCTGAGTTTCTGGCTTGTATTTATCCACCCATGGTTCATTTTCAGACAGATATTCTTTTGAATTCTCAAGACCATAAATCTTTTCTGAGGAAGATGGCTTTTCTCTTTTTCTAGCTGGAAATCTGCTACTGTCTAATCTGGAAGGCACATTTTTCCTTCTGTGACTTGAGTTATTCACACCTAATGATGTGGCAGTAATAGAGATGCCTGTATTCTCTGAAAAATCATCAAACGATGGGTCCACCCAGTCTGTTACCTGAAAAAAAAGAAATCATGTAAATATTACATTATCTACCTCTATTCCCTATATAAGTAAACTACTGTCTATAAAAAAAACATATTCATATATCTGCAACATTTTATTTTTATTTTTTTAGAAGATTTTATTTGCCAGAGAGAGAGAGTGCACACAAGCAGGGGGAGCAACAGGCAGAGAGAAGCAGGCTCCCCTCTGGGCAAGGAGCCTGATATGGGACTTGATCCCAGGACCCTGAGATCATGACATGAGCCAAAGGCAGATACTTAACCGACTGAGCCACCCAGGCATCCCTATCTGCAACATTTTAAATCGAAACCTCACAAATTCGCTCTTTAAGTAAAACTGGCACTACACATATTAGTTATTTTTTTACTTCATGGTAAATACATATGCATACTTGTCCGCTTCACCAGGGTAATCACGAATGCCATATAAAGGAATATAGAATACAAACTTAATTCTTTTTACTAATTATAATCTTCCTAGTATAGAATAGGCTGATTCTTCTTAAGCTCATTTGTAGGACTGAAACAGAAATACTAAAATTATGTGCCAAAAAAGAAGCAAAACAAAGAAATAAAATATTATTTTAAGCATATATAACTGTAAGAAGAATAAAACTTCTGTCTTGACCAGGTTAATTAATTCACAAACTAAGAACCACTGCAGATATCCAAATAATCCCTATCAGCTTCAGGACTTTGAGAAGATACAGCCTAAGAATCCTGATGGTATGAATAATTTGTAAATATGAACTGATTTTATTCTCTTCAGCCCATAAAGCAAATAGTATTTTCATAAAGGGAGGCAGGCTTTCCAAGGAGGAGGACTTGTTTCCCAGATTTGTCTAAAAAAACAGAACTGGGATAATAGAACAGCAAAATCAATGGTTCTACTTCATGTTCTTCTGTTTTTTTGAGAAATTGCTGATCTCTCTACATTTCCTTCATCATTCCTTTTCCTTTAGAATCCTCTGTAAGTATACACAGATGAAGATAATGAATTCAGCAGTTTAAAACTAAAAATACTTTGGTGTTATTAAAAAGGTTTTTTTCTGAACAAAAATTTTTATGATGAATTTTCTTAACATTCTTGAAGTATAAATCTAGAAAAACCTAGCTTAGTATGTGGCTTTTGAAATTCCTTGGCTGCCTAATAAGGGGGAACCAAGATTATATTTTCCTTGAAGAACACTCAGCCACAGTTGTGAACCATTTACTAGACAATGCTAAGGAAAAGCAAGCTGGGGTTTAGAACTATCTCAGGAATGAAAGTCACACTTCATTCCCCCTTTAAAGACAGAAGGTTAGGAATACTATCACCAATAAGTAAAGAAATGAAGACCTGTGGGAAAAAATTTCAGTCACAGCCTAAAAATTCATTTCTCCTTCTTCAAAAGACTGTCAACAGTACTACAATTTTGGCTCCTCTTTAAGAGTTTAGGGGCACCCGGGTGGCTCAGTCAGTTAAGAATGTGCCTTCGGCTCAGGCCGTGATCCCGGGGTCCTGGGATTGAGCCTTGCATCGAGCTCCTGCTAACCAGGGAGACTGCTTCTCCCTCTGCCCCTCCTTTCTCTTTTTCTCAAATAAATAAAATCTAAAAAACAAGTAAGAGTACCTAGGGGCACTTGGGTGGCTCTGTCAGTTGAACTCGAACTTTTGGTTTCAGTTCAGGTTGTGATCTCAATGTCATGAAATGGAGCCCAGAGTTGGGCTCCACACTCAGCAGAGTCTGTTTAAGACTGACTCTGCCCTCCCCACCCCTGCCCCCGACCCTGGCTCACACAGGTTCTCTCTCCCAAAATAAATACATCTTAAAAAAAAAAAAAAAAAGTAAAAATACCATATTATAATAAAACTTTTGATAGCATATCTGATCTTGCAATTCTGATCTGCAAGTTATTTATACATTTTATAGTTTTATATCTTACATAAACATGGAGTCCTATTTACTGGGGAAAAAAGAAACACCAAAAATTAATTTACTTAAGATCAGAGAAAAATAAGACCCACCAGTATGAAAATAACTACCCAGCAAATAAGCATGATACTGACTGACCCCATCCTATGCTATCACTAGCCTTGCTGAGAACTGGCACTCAAAAACATGATTTTTAAGTGGCAAGCCTTGTGGTTAAGCTTTATTTTTATTTATCTGTCTTTTTAAAGATGTTATTTATTCATTTGAAAGAGAAAGAGATAGCGAGGAGAGGGGCAGATGGGGAGGGAGAGAAAAGGAGAGAATCCCAAACAAACCCAGCATTGAATGCAGAGTCCGCCACAGAGCTCCATCCCACAACCCTGAGATTATGAGCCAAAACCAAGAGTCAGATGCTCAACTAACAGTGCCACTGTTGCCCCTCGTTGTTACGCTGTAATACTATGACTCATGTTTTTCTTTCTTCTATTGATCTTCCATGCAAGAGTTTTCAGCCTTTCTTCCGACTGAAATTGAAAACACTTTTTTAAAAATTAAGGTTGTGCTTTTAGTCATTTCACACTTAATATTGCATTTTTTAGATCACCAATTACAACAGATACTGTACACTATTACTTTGACGGCAATAACAAGTCATTAAAAACATACACAAAAATTATCCTTCCTTTTTGGGCAATTATTACATGGACATTTTAGTGTAACATACCTTTGTAGAAGATACCTTTGGTCTAAGAAAAGTTTTTGACATTATAAACTTTAATAGTTCCCATCCGTAGTATACAACCTGTAGTAGTACATTAAAGTATAATTCACCTAAGGAAACAAACAAACAAAAAAATCTCAAATTAGGAAAACTGTAAAAAAGAAATATAGTAATATAAACCAATATAATCTACAGTATGATAATGGCTCAAAAACTAATGAGAGGACATAGTAAACACAGGTGAAGAGGTCAAAATGCTAAAATAAAGTTTACTTTTAATCCCTAGAACTGTCAAATAATCCACACGTGGTGGTATAAGAGCGAAGTCTTTCATATGAACTCAACAATGTATTAGAGAAAACAGAAAAAATGCATTCGACATTTTGTGCAGCTTTTGTGCTGAAAGTTAAAATTTCCCTCACTTCAAATCACAGTTCCGGAGTTTTTTTCTGCGAAATTTCAAAAAAACCCTCACCATATAACAAATTCAGATTTTCACTTACTTTGGAAAAAGACTATAAATCTAACTGTAAATATTTTCTGTAAGTGTTCTTCTTACTTGAACATACTGGAAAATTTGGGGACAATGTTTTCCGACTTTAATAATTATTCAATGTTTACATAAACTAATGAATTCACCAGTTTGAAGTGAGCTTGAAGCAAAGTTTTTTAAGGTCTGCAAATTTATAAATTGGAAGGTGTATTTGGACTTTAAGGTTTGGACGCACATATGGTATATAACGTGAAAAGATTCCACACACGAAAAAATAAATTGTACACACACACACACACACGTTGTTCACGATTAAAGAGGTTTTTGCTTTGGAGATTCAAAGAGATACATGGATGGGGAAAAAAACACACTTGTTGAATAAATACAGTTGTCAGGTCGAAATAAAAGACGCAGACTGTTTTTACGGTCAGGATTCCAGTCGCTCTTTAAAAACAAGACTGACAATTACCTCCTTTAAAAAAGAAGATAACTGTCCCAGATGATGTCAGGTTCCTGAAATGAGATGTCAGAGGAAAAAAAGACCTTCAAGAATATTTCTAGTCTACCCACCAACCGCCCTCACACACTGGACTGGCGATACTAAGCCCAGACACTCGTCCAGCGTAAAGCTACTAATCAGCGGAGAGCAAAGAGGATCTCGCCATGTCCTCACGCCAGGCCAGAATTTTGCACCCCCACCCTCCAACCCCAAATGGAATGGGCAGGTCGGGAGGAGGAGCGAAGACAGCTCCGGGAGGCGTGAAGGCAGAGATGGGTTCGCGTCTCCAAAACATACATAGACCAAAGCCGCAACCGCGGCGGCCTTACTTTCCGGGAGCTGCATCCCCTCGTGGCCGGAGAGGAGTGGAGGAGCCACACTCTGCTCCAGCGGAAAGGCAAGTACCTGGCCCTAGCCGGGCTCAGCGACGAGCCTCTCGGAGGTCCCGCCTCCCGGGGACCTTCTAGACCGGTCGACGCTTACGCGACACAGGCAGAAGGGCAGCCGCCAACGGCCCCGGTGGCTTAGGCTTCTATCTCACTGCCTGACCCAAAGCAAGGACCCGACCTGTGCCCCTGCTTTGGACTCTGCGCTGCAAGCATGCTATAGGAGGCCAGGTAACCAATATTCAGTGGCTAGGCGGTGGAGACGGCCGCGAGCGCCGCGCACGGCCTAGAAGCACCCGGGGCCACTGGCGCTTGACGCAGCTCGCCGCTTCCGGCTCCTCCCTGTTGTGCGTAAAGCGCGTGGGCCTAGACGCCCGGAGCCAGCGCGGTGAGGACCATGTTGCTTCCGAACATCCTGCTCACCGGTCAGGCGCGCGGCGGGGCGGCGCTGGGTGGCGGGGCAGGCCAAGGGCGTCGAGTGCGGTGGGGCGTCGGACGTCCGAAGGGTGCCGTTCGGTGTTCTGTTTCGAGGCTAGTAGAGGGCCGCGCGGCGTGGCGGTTGTCAGGGCCTCGAAGAGACCGGTTCCTCCGACCGTTGTGGGAGGCGGGTGGGGGGCGGGGAATGTTGATACTGTTGGCCCGAGGCTGCTCGGTGAGAGAGGGAGACTTCTTCAGGTCCTCTTTCTGGCAAACTGCCGAATCTTTCGGAATCTGGTTTGTTGTTGTTGTTGTTGTTGTTGTTGTTGTTTAATTAGCAGGGTTTGTCTTTAGAGTTTTAGCGAGATAATGTAAGTCGCTCTCAGACCCTTAGTGGATATTTTAATGCTGCTGGACACCTTGTCCTTAGGCCTTTCTGGGGCGTATCTCTTTTTCTTTTGTTTCTGCCAATTACGGTTGGACAAAAGGGTTCGAATATATATGGCGCAGGGTGATTAACTTGCTTGTACTTTTGTTGAATTAGCATCAGAAGCTTTTTTATTGTAAAGTTCCCGGGGTGATAGCTGTCTTTCATACTGGTTAAATTTTTTTCCCCATAAATGATTTAATTTAAAAAACTAAAATAAATGATGGTAATTTGAGATACTTAGTGTTATTCTGGGAGTATCTGTTAACGGTGGCAGGCAGTCTGCGAATTGCTATTAATCCCCAAAGCCCCACTCCTGATAGATCAGATACACTTGGTGAGATTCTCTTATGCAACAGACTTTGAGTAGTTTTGATTAGATTATAGTGTATATTCACAGGGAATTGCTAATTAGGATATTTTTCGCTTCATTTGTTAAAAACTTGAAGAAGGGTAGATAGGGGGCTAATGTCTAACAAGTATCCTTGGCTTGTCTTACAGGTACACCAGGGGTTGGAAAAACCACGCTAGGCAAAGAACTTGCATCAAGATCAGGACTGAAATACATTAATGTGGGTGATTTAGCTCGAGAAGGTAAGGGATGCATTGGTGATGGTTTTAAAAAAGAGAGAGACTAGATAATAGAGTGTTAGTATTATACTTGTCAGACGGTACAGAAAGCAGAGACAGACCATTAAGGAATTTATGCTCTGTGGGGAACCTGTAGAAGGAGAAAGTAATATATGTGTAGTACTGTCTTCGGTTGTTTTGACCATTCTACCCCATCCTGCCCCACTCTGTTGGCCAGTAGTTCTTCTGAGTGGTAATAATTGGGAAGGCTGCCATGAAGAGATGGGACATAGGAAGAATGTTTTTGAGATGGGCAAACACATAAAGGTTTGGATGGTCCTAAGCGTATCTGTTGAGATGCTGAGTATAAGTCTCACTGGAAGGATATTATTTTGAGCTCTTAGGACATGACTGTTTTATAGTTTCTTCTTAGCTTTGTTTGATAGTTGCATGCCTGCACACAACTGCACATTATTCTAAAGTGATAAATGCTTTTATTTTACCACGTTTTTCTCCCAATTTTTTATCACTCCCTTATTTGTCTTCATTTTTTTTATATTCTGTAATTTGTATAGGATAGAAATTTAATAAACTTAAAGGGACCTTAATTAAAATTAAAAAGATTTAACACTTAAAATTTAAATATATTTTCAAAAATTTAGCAGTATTTAAAATTTTTTGAAGTTCCTGATAGTTGCTACTAAAGTAACTATTTCAGATTTGATCTAATGTCCGTATTTTTTTCAAATGATCTAAAGTCTGATCAACGGATATCATGGAGTCTGGCAAGATGGCTTCTCCCAAGAGCATGCCGAAAGATGCACAGATGATGGCACAAATCCTGAAGGATATGGGGATTACAGAATATGAGCCAAGAGTTATAAATCAGATGTTGGAGTTTGCCTTCCGATATGTGACCACAATTCTAGATGATGCAAAAATTTATTCCAGCCATGCTAAGAAAGCTACTGTTGATGCAGATGATGTGCGATTGGCCATCCAGTGTCGTGCTGATCAGTCTTTTACCTCTCCTCCCCCGAGAGATTTTTTATTAGATATTGCAAGGCAAAGAAATCAAACTCCTTTGCCATTAATCAAGCCATATTCAGGCCCCAGGTTGCCACCTGATAGATACTGCTTGACCGCTCCAAACTATAGACTTAAGTCTTTACAAAAAAAGGCATCTACCTCTGCGGGAAGAATAACAGTTCCACGGTTAAGTGTTGGTTCAGTTACTAGCAGACCAAGTACTCCCACTCTTGGCACACCAACCCCACAGACCATGTCTGTGTCAACTAAAGTAGGGACTCCAATGTCCCTCACAGGGCAAAGGTTTACAGTACAGATGCCCACTTCACAGTCCCCAACTGTAAAAGCATCAATTCCTGCAACATCCGCAGTTCAGAATGTTCTGATTAATCCATCATTAATTGGGTCCAAAAACATTCTTATTACCACTAACATGGTGTCATCACAAAATACTGCCAATGAATCATCAAATGCAATGAAAAGAAAACGAGAAGATGATGATGATGACGATGATGATGACGATGATGACTATGATAATTTGTAATCCAGCCTTGATGCTTGTAACATGTATACTTGGTCTTGAATCCATTGTACTAGATTAAACACGCATGCTGGGTATTTTCAAGTTGTGTTGTAGAAAACTTAAATGCTATTTAATGAGTAAATATGGTTATCCTTTCCGATTGAGATGTTGGGTTTTCTTTAATGGGATTAGTAATGGTTATTCATCATCCTTTAAGTGTAAAAAATAAAACTGTTTTCATCAGTTTGTTGGTATTTTGGCAATTATGTTTTTAGAAGCAGTTTCCTCACATGTCACCAATAGGAATAACAGTGACAACAACTTGAAGTACTGGTTTGTTCATAAACACTAGAGTAGTACTTCTAGTGTCTTCAGATGTTTAGATCACAGCATGGTCTCTTTTTTGTAGAGTCCACTTCATCTGTTTGGATTTCTCTTCTTCAATTACTCAACTTCTTCCTGGGTCCTTTTTTGCTCTCTTTGGTTTTATTTAAGGACTCTTAATGTGTCTCCCAGGATGTCCCCACTTCAGAACTTAATTTTTTTTTTCCGTTATCTCTTTTTGCAGATGAGTTTTGCATATCTTAGCTTTGTCATATTTTTGATACTGTAAGTCAGTATCATGATCATATTTTTAATCCAGGTTTGGTATTTAAGTACAGTGAATAAAACTTAGGTATTGTTTTACATGACCAGTCTCCCATTTTACACCTACATAAAAAAATCTGTTTTTTTTCCTTTGCCTGTTGAACTTTACAGTCTCTGACAAGTGATTTTAGAGTCACATTCAGTTGTCAATTTCAGTCTTCCAGTTTATCTTACAATATTTAACACTTTTTTTTTAAAGGACTTCATTTATTTATTTGACAGATCACAAGTAGGCAGAGAGGCAGGCAGAGAAAACAGGAGGAAGCAGGCTCCCGAGCAGAGAGCCCGCTGTGGGCTCCATCCCAGGACCCTGAGATCATGACCTGAGCCGAAGGCAGAGACTTTAATCCACTGAGCCACCCAGGCACCCCTGAATTTAACACTTCTAAACTTAAAGAAGTTGCTATATAATCAATTGTGTAGTACTGAGAGGAACAGTAACACTAGACATTTGGTTCCTTTCATATTTGTATTCAACACTATTTTAGCCACTACAACACATCTAAGTGTGTATAGTCCCAAACATCCTCTCTCTATATTTTTTAAAGATTTTATTTATCCATTTGAGAGAATGTGCATGCACAGAGCGGGGGTGGTGGGGAGGGCTAGAGAGGGAAAAGCAGGCTTCCCACTGAACAGGGATCTGGATGGGGGTGGGGGGGTTGTTCCTGGGTTCCTAGGCTTGAGACTTGAGCCAAAGGCAGATGTTTAACCAACTGAGTCACTCAGGCACCCTTAGGTGATGGTCTTCATAAGGTTTTTCATAATATACCAGATTGGTTTTTTCCCCCGATGCCATTTGAATGTATCTGGAAATCTTAACTAAAACATATTTCAAGATAAAATCTTAACTAGAAAATATACTGAGACACCTGTCCTCATTTTTCTCAAATAGTTATATATTTTAAGGGATACCATGTAACCATCTATAAAGCAGTGGCTCTCAAATAAGTGTGATTTTGCCCTTCAGGGGACATTTGGCAATTTCTGGAGACTGGATAGTCAAGACTGGGGTGGAGACCAGGGATTCTGTTGAACATCCCACAATTCACAGAATAGCCCCCCACTCCTATAAAAGAATTATTAAGCTCAAAATGTCAGTAGTATTTGAGATTGAGAAACCCTGGTATAAAGAAACAAGACCAAAAAAAAAAAAAAAGCCACCCTGATTTTATTTTTTTTATTTTTAAAGATTTTATTTATTTGACAGAGATCACAAGTAGGCAGAGAGAGAGAGGGGTGGGGGAAGCAGGCTCCCCTCTGAGCAGAGAGCCTGATGCGGGGCTCAATCCCGGGACCCTGGGATCATGACCTGAGCCAAAGGCAGAAGCTTAACCCACTGAGCCACCCAGGCACCCCACCACCCTGATTTTAAATGAATTTGTCTAAATGGAGTTGACAGCCA